AAAAACATTATTTTCAAAAAAAAAAAAATTAAAAAAAAATTTTTTTTTTTCAAAAAAAATAATTTTTTGTCCAATTTATAGTTTCTCAAAAATCTTATTTTTTTGAAGTAAAATTTTTTCAAGAATATTATTCGTTTTAAAAAAGTAATAATAATTGGTACGGGAAGTTCCAGCAATTTGCCTTAAGGCACGATGCCTTAATTGCCTTAAGACAGAATTCCACTTACAGCTAGTTAATAATTTAAATCGGTTCACTCGTTATACGTGTGGCAAATTTATACATGTACACAACTACAAAGATAAGTAAAATTTCTGAGCAAAAATTATAGCACTCTAGATCCTCCCCTACGAAATAATGCATAACGGCGGTTTCCGTGAGTACCAGAAGCAAGAGAAAAGCAGCGGATTCAATCGGTATTATATCCAGGCTGTATGGAGTCTGACATACGCGAACAAAAGATCTGACTGGGTTGCATAAATGCATTTCTTTCGCTATACAAAAAAATCACAATACCTACGTACTTATGCCAAAACTATTGGGATGGTATCAAACGTAAAGGTATTACAACGAAAATATTTTACCTTTTATAGAGATTATAATATTCAACCTTTGGAAACTTAAATACGGTACTATTTTTCAAAATCGTTTTACATATGAATGAATGTTGAAAATTTTTCATAAAATATTACTTTTACTTACGTTCTTCTGTTAGTGTGTCTGGCCGAAACAGCAAAAACGGCAACCAACAGCACCAATATTATTTCATTTTGTAAGGTGCTAGTTTCAAATGCCACCAGAACTAATACATTTTTAGTTTTTTCTTTCTTTTATATACAGTATTCAAAGTAACTTAATGATAGCTTAAATTGTTTTTTAAAAACACCTACGTATTTGATTCTTATCCGTTGATAACTTATCAATAAATAGTATTCGTAATTCACTTTGAAGAGATTATAGGCGCATTTTAAACTATATAATTTATATTATGCTTGTTTACTACTAATTCTAACGCACTTTATCAGTTTTATTTGCACAATATTACATTGTTTATCATTAGTATTCAAAAAGATAAATAGAAATTCCGCCATATAGTGTTGATATTACAAGTATTCTCTTAAGCTTTTTTTTATAGAGATTCACTCTTCTAAAATAAATATCATGTTTAACTATAATGAATTTTATAATATAATAGGCTTTTATATTTTTATTCATTTCTACAGAAATTGGGTAATATTTGAAGTAAGTGTATAGCTTATATTATGCATTTGTAATTGTTGATTCAATATTTTTATTCTTTTCGTGCTCTAATAATAATTTCCATGCAAGTGGTTTGAAACTTTAATTTTCACGAATTCTATAGCTTAAAAGTTTGATTTTGGTCGATTAGATCATTAATTACTACATATCAAATGTAATCAATACATTTAAGGCTTAAGTAATCAATACACTTAACTTAGGCAGTTGCTTGAACTTCCCGATAGATGTAATAATTGACTTAATCAACCGAAATTGACATTTAGATATTTAGATAAAATTTCAACTGTTTATTATATTTCCCGTAGGGTAGTTATAGTAATGGGCCAAAAATCGAAAATGAAAAATTTTGCATTTCTCGACGTTTTGAAAGTTTCTGAACATTTTGTCATACCTCAGAAAAAATGTATGTGGTGTTTTTTGTGTGTCCGCATTTTTTCGTTTACGTTTTCCGATCAACCGATTTGAATGGTTTAAAAAACATTTGATTCCTATTGATCGGAAGATGTGCTGATTAGTTTTTGCAAAGACAGGTCCAGCCATTTTGAAGATACTGAGCTAAATGTACACAAAATGGTAGTTTTTGAGAGAAATAAGCATCAGATTTGAATAAATCAAAAAACTTTCTGCTTGTGTTGACGAACCAATTGATTTTGAGAAAAAAAATTTCATTTCAATTTTTTTTCAAAAAATTTTTTTTTGTATATCGAAAATAATTCAGATTTCAATTTCAATTGCGGTTAAAGTTCTAAATCTTTCAAGTGAATTATTTTAACTTTGAAATTCAGTTTATATTGAAATATTATACGATGATACAGAATTTAAAATAATCTATTTGAAAACATTTAATCTTTCTCGAAAATTTTGTTACGGTACGGGAGGTTGCCCTACTCCACTAGTTTCGAAAATAATGGGTATGGGCGTGTTTCCATACAGAATTGGCCCCACCCTGGTATTTAGATAATTTTGATGCCATTTTATAGGTATTTTCGAGAAAATCCGATATATCAAATTTCAAATCCGTAGCTCATCATTTGGCCGAGATATCATTGAAAATGTGTGAAAGTGGCCCCTTTTTTCAAAGTCGTTTTTTGTCGCAACTGTAAGAGATATCGACAAACCAATAACGCCAATCTGTTCACATTGGTATGTACTGCTGCATTATTAATAACAAATATTGGTAAATAATTATTTTTTAGTGCATGAAAAAATGAAAATAATTTTTTGTTTTGAATTTTCGGGTAGTGCGGTTGTTTGGACTATTTTTTAATTAGCATCGTTAGAAAGGTTAGTATTAGTTACACACGCTCACACACACACACACACACACACTTCTCTCTTCGGGAAGTTAATAATATTTGAAATTAATTGTTTGAAAATTAGTAGAGCTCATGAATAAATTGATTTGATTGTTTAAATTTTGTGATATAAATAAATGTTGTGATAAAAATTCAACTGTATTGTACCAAATGAATCGTTGGAAAATAGTGCAAATTTTTAAATATCCTTATTTGCTTCAGGAGCTCTGAAATTTATTAAAAAATTAACATTACAAAACTGTAATTTTTTCATTTGTAATAATGTATAAAATTAATCTTGAATTCAAATTCATTTAGAAACAAAATTGCAGACAGTTATATTTTTATGAAAAACAATTCAAAATCTTTTGATGCAAAAAACGTCACGTTGTATTCAATTTCATGAGATTTTTCAGCGTACTCAATTACACGTTGATTAAAAACACTAAAAGATTCCTCTCTTAGGCGGCAGTAGTTGTAACAAAAACATCTGTGTATTGAATCGCAATAAAAAAATTATAGATCTCGTTTAAAATCAAAGTTCACTGAATTAGTTCAGAAAAATTCATTCAAGAAATTGGCGCACATCAGTATAAAATTTAAAAAATGTGGGCCATTTTATAATGTGGGCGGCCGGTGGGATTTTGCGCCCGGCCACTCCTGCCGCTTTATTGTGTTCATATTGAAAACTAATTTCTATACGACTTAGTATAGAAAATATATTTCGTATAGTGCTTGTAATTATTCTCACATATTTATATTTATTATTTGCTTGCAATTATTGTCACATATTTATATTTATTATACTAACTTGAAATACTACCAATGGGTAGTATTTTAAAAACTTATTTTATAACTAATCACAACAATTACTGAATGCTTTCTCAGGCAGTTATAGTTTAGATGAAAATAAAAAAAAAATCTATACGAACGTTAAAAACATAAGAAAAACTTTTAAATTGAAATTTTTGTGTTTGCTATATCTAATATTTTAACAATTTGCTTAACTTATCATACCAATATGCCCTAAATTTCATAACTTTATTCAATATTGCCGCAAAACTATTAATCGATGTTTCTTATTATACTTAATCAATTTATCACATATCAAACAAAATTCTATTTTATTGAAAACAATGAATGTATAATGTATAATGTATAATTGTAATGAATGTATAATTTATAAAATATATAATATCATAAAATTACTAATTTTATTTAGTTTTATTTATTTAATATTCCTTGACTCGACTTAAACGCCAGCGTTATGACGAATAAATTTCTGATGTCTGGGGAAGAAAGACGAGTATATACACCTGGACTATCTTTTCTTCCGCATCCAGATGCCCAGGAAGTGATTCCTATCACAATTCTATTTTTTGTTATTAGAGGACCCCCGTCATCACCTTGACAGGCATCTTTTTCTCCCTCGAGATAACCGGCACACAGCATGCTGAAATTAGTAATGCATAAAATTAACATGTATCAAAAAGATATATTGGCTCTGGCCGCCTTTTATCATTACATTTTTAGTGCATTCCCAATTTCTCTAATTTTCTTATACTTTACAATTTTACATTTTTTGATATTTTATGTGCATTCCACTAATTTAACTTATTCTTATTACAATTATTTAACGTTTTGAAAAAATTTTTATGTGCGAAATTCAGAACTACTGTTAACATTGACTATCACAAAAAAAGACTTGTGCCCTCACAAATTTTGCTTTCTTACCTGAAGTAAAGACCAAAAAGTCATCACCACAAAATATTATCTAGGATCAAAGTCAAAATTTTACTATTTTGCTATACTCACAAATTTTATCAATTCTAACTGATACTCCAGCTTTTATTTTAAATTGGAATACAGCATTTAATTTTTAATGAGAAAGCTAATTCCTTTATCACTTAATTACAATTTTCAGGGACCTACGTTTAGCTTACAAATTATCACTTAATTACAATTTCCTTTATCATTTATTTTTCAGGGTTACTACAATAGACCCAAATTCCGAATTTATATTACAAAATTTGCAAGCTAAACATAGGTAGATCACCAATCAGTCTTGACCATGTCTTTTTTCTCTGCGTCCTAAATAATATATTTAGGTAATGCATATATTTTTTGACATTATTATGAACAATATATGATATTATTATGAACAATAATATCATGTATCTGAAAAAAGTACATAGTATTTCCATTAAATTTAGCGAAAGTAAATTGTATCAACTACAAGGCTATAGGACTATTTCATGAATAAATATTAACAATTCCTAGGGTAAGTTATAGTAATAGGACACAGCAAAAAATTGAAAATGAACATTTTTATATATATTTACGTTTTACGTAGGTTTCTGAACATTTTGCAAGACCTTAGAAAAAATGGCTGTATGTGTGTATAAATTTTCAACCGATTTCAATTATTCAAAAAGCATTCGATTCCTATTGATAAGGAGACGTGCTGATTTTTGGCAAAGGGAGAGCTAGCCGTTTTAGAGATACGGCTAGCCAAAAATGGAGACTCAGTTTTTAACAGAACGGAGCGTCCGATTTTAATAATTCAAAATACATTGTACTTGTATTGACATTTCGTCTCTATGCAGCTAAAGCAGTACGATTGTTTTGAAACAAAATTCAAAATTTCCAAAACATTTCAAAATAAAGAAAACTTTTTTTTTCATTTTCATTCCAAAAAGTCAACTTTTTTCAAAAATTAAAATTTCTCAAAAAACTAATTTTTTCAAAGTTAAAAAAAAATTATCTTCTTTAAAAAATTAATTTTTGGTGCGGGAAGTACCAGCAATTTACCTTGGCATGATGCCATGCACTAGTTTTTATTAGATATATAATCTATGTTAATTTTCTCTAGTTAATTTGTGTAAATTTAGCAATATTGAAAATAACCAGTGAAAAAGTGTATATCGGACATAATTATTAATTAATATTTTTAATATTTCCTAATTTTCATGGACATTACCCTTACTTGTTTGTGAACATCCTTCCGTATCTGCTTTTGCATTCTGTTGGGTCAAGTATAGGAATAGAGACTCCTTTGAGAAATTTAGAATTGGTTTGAGCTTGATCCTGATAAATAAAATATTGCACTAGTTATTGTTTTTGTAAATTCTAATATTTAGTAGAGTTACAACATATAAATATAAAACATTTATCAAAATTTAGGTAATGTTAAAAATGAATAGGTTCAAACTTTATTAACACCCTTTGTCAGTGAAGCTGTTGTGATAATTTGTTGAAAACTAATTGAGTAAAAATATTTTTCAACTCGCACAGGCAGAAAAATAGAAACTATGACCAACTATTAAAACTAAATAAATAAAACGTGATTTAGTTATGGATAACTAGAGATTAAAACTTAAATAATTTTCATATAACTATTTACCTTTGTGTAACCCCATCCAGTTATTCTGACAATTTCACCTTGCGGCACTATAACTCCTGGCTCTATTAAACTGATTGTACGGATAGTGATACCGTTTAAATGCAATGGAGTTTCCAAATAAAGCAGGGATACGTCATTATCATAATTGGTATCATTGAATTTTGGGTGATTTATTCCTTTTTCTACTTGCTTCACGATTCCGCCTTCGTTGATGGTATCACTTCCAGCTCTAACTGAATATAGTCTTATAGGCATTAAGCTAAATAAATGACATAGGTAATAAATAAATAAATAAATAAATTAATGAATTAATTAATATTAAGCCGAATTAATATTACCGTGCATATACATACAAGTATATCAATTGGTATGTAGATATAATGATCAATATGTAGATAAGTTTGTAATATAAGTAGTTAGATATTATAGCTTACCTAATGAAGCAATGTGCAGCTGTAAGAACCCATTGCTTTGCAATAATTGTTTCTCCACAATAATGAAGATTTAATAACTGGACGGACACTTGCCATCCATAGTCTTCGATGCTCACATTTGCACCCCCCACTATTCGATCAATGGGCTGTTTATCACAACCTATGGGCAAAATATTGTTAAAAAATAGATGGTACTACCCTAGGGTAAGTCCATGAGTTGAGATAAACTTCAACTCGATTCAGTGAAGAATAGTGTGAGGAATTTTCCATTGTCATTTTTCACACACCGCAGTGCCCAAAATTGGCTTGTTTTTTTAATTGGAAACAATTTTTGATCTATATGTTCAAGTAAAAATGGACATCGCCGTTGCCCGATTCAATAATTCTGAATTGTTGACTAATGCATTAACAATCTAATGATAAGGCCTAACATCAATAGAATAAAAATGCTTTCAAAAGCTTATTTTACAACTCATACGTTTCGATTATAATCATAGCCTTGAATCAGTGGATACTAAAAATCAAAATTTGAAAACTAAAGCAATTGAATTGCAGAAAATATAAAAAGTAAAAAATGATTACAGTTTGTTAATCTTGTTAAAAAGAGAAAATTTAATAATTTTTGATACCAAGGATTTTGCGGATTACGCATACATTTTCATACACAAAAGTGCGAGCAGTATAGATCTCTGACTTGAAATTCACATAGTTAATATACTTAAATAAAATTCTTTAAACATTTTCTCTATTTTATATAGGATTATAAATACTAATTTATTGTTTCAATATATTTTTTGGATTAACAGTAAAAATTCGGCCCATAGAGGGTTGATATATAATTTCTTAATTTCTTAATTTATTATTTATTCAAAAAAAAAAACTTCAATCAAAACTCTTTTTTAATAAATTGTGGTTGATTATTTGACCGTAAAGTCGAATTCTAAAAGTGCAAACTGCTGATAACTACAAATAATGTACTATATTATTATCATATATTGTTTACTATATTCTATAATACATACTTGCACCACTATCCAAAAGTATAATGTAACTAAATATTACAAATAAAAGCCCACAATTCATTTCAACTGGTGATATTTGTGATTAACTGTGATATTACTGCCAGTATATAAAAATGTTTATCGTTTGCTTAAATTAACATTTATTTAAAAACATTTCAATTTCTTCCATATCTTTGTAATTACTGATAATTGCGCGGGTAATTTGCATTAATTGTTATATATATATATATATATATATATATATATATAATGTTTTGAGCATCTAAATTTTTTACAATAAACTTTACAAACAATTTGAATAAATGTCGAAAATTTGAACTAGAAATTGAAGCAGAACTTTGGTTAACGTAGAGACTAATTAAATTTTGAAAAATATAATAAAATGTGATATCGAAAACATTCAATAATATGATATTGGAACAAAACTTTATTGTAATTAGTCATCTAATCTAATATGGAATACCGCCAAGAAGGAAGAAAACCTATGGGTACTTTTAGTGTCAGAAATATTAACGCAACACAACATAATCATTTAAACAAAGCTAATTAAAATAATTTAGCAACATGTTCGACAACACATACTACTTTTTGATCTAATCTCAAAATCAGTTTAGTTTAGCTGTAATGTTGACTGTAACTACTGCACAACCGTGCCATGTTCGCCCAGTCTCCCCTATATGAGATTCAGTAAATAAAATAGTTACATTTATATGCTTTTTTTTTAATAATTTGAAGTACATAATTAAGTATTAAGATATACCTACTATAAATTTTGGTTAATAATAAATGGTCAAATGGTCAAATGGTGCTATTTGGCGTTCTTTTAAATGATTATGATATAAAATTAAACTCCTGTTTGGTTTGTTATGAAATCTCTGACTATTGGGGATGAAAGTTGGGTATATACTCCAGGACTAACAGGTCTGGCACAACCATCACCCCAGGATACAATTCCTACGAGGGTGTTGGTGTCATCAACAAGTGGTCCCCCACTATCTCCTTGACATGAATCTTTTTCTCCATTGAGAAAACCAGCACAAAGCATACTAAATTGTTGAAAAATCAAGAAAATAAATATATAATATATAGCTAATAATATATCGATAAAGCTGGCAAAATTGCGAGTAAAACTAATTATATAAAATTGCTTTTATCATGTAAAATAAATTTTAATTAATTAGCTATCCACATGGTTAAGTTATAGTGGTGGCAAAAAAATCGAAAATGAAAATATTTATGTATAAAAAAAAATCTTTACGTTTCAGAGGTTTCTGAACATTTTGGCAAACCTTAGAAATGATAGATGTATGTCAGTGTGTGTGTGTGGGTCTGTGTGCGGATACAAATTTTCGTCTACGATTTTGGGAACACGGATCATCCGATTGGAATAATTAAAAAAACATTCGATTGGTAATAATAGGGAGACGTGCTGATTAGTTTTTGGCAGAGACCGATTAGACGGTTTCGGAGATACGGGGCAAAATATCGAATTATCAGATATTTTATAGACTATTATATTTACGCGCTTCGATATTTCGTCTCGTAAACAGCTGCGATAGCTTTGGAATAAAGTTAGAGAAAGAAAATACACAATATAATTTTTTTTTTTTTAGAAAACTTAAATAAGTATAAAGCTGTTTTAATAATTGTAATTTTTGGTACGGGAAGTTACAGCAATTTAGCATGTTGCCATGCATCACGAGTTATTTTTATAACTGTTTTATAATACATTTTTTCTAATAGCAATCATTAACTGCTTGTGATTCTGATTATGCCATTACAAATACTATCAGATACAGGATTCATTTTAATTAAAACATAAATCTCTTGTAAATATAACCATAAATCCAATATTCAAAAATTAACATATGCTTAGATTATAAAAAGCACAACATAACTGAAGTATGAGAGATATTATAACACAACTTGAAACCTAATCTTTGTTTTATAATTATGCTAAAATCCTATTTTGAAATGAAATCTATCTAAGCAAATATTTTAATTAGTGTAGATCTGATCATCAAACTAACCGACAATGAATAAGGACTTTTTGCTTACGATATAATGACTTGCTAATAATATTTATTGATGAACAAATGAGCAAAACTGATAGTAATGAAAAATTGATATTAAAGCAAATGTTTTTTGAAAATATATTTACTCACTTATCTGTTAGTAAATAGCGCGTTGAATAAAGTAGTTTACACAAAGAGAAGTCAATCTTTGGCACAGAAACTCCTTTCAGAGTTTCGGAAACGTCGTGAACTTCTTCCTAGAAAATCATGCATTGATCAATAAATGATTTCATATATTTCCCTTATAAAATAGAGAACTAATCTGTTATATTTACTTGAAGGTATCCCCATCCGGTAACGGTGAGATTTGCATTATTCGGCACTTTAACATTTCTGCCAATAACATTGATGGTACGAATTGAACCGCCATTCAACTCCAATGGTGTTTCCAAAAAGACTATTGCGACATCTCTATCTTGTTCCTTACTGTCATAATCTGGGTGAATTACCCATCTGTCTACCTGTACTAGGACTCCTCCATTATATATCTCACTACTGCCAGCTCTAATCTTAACGTCATCAGGCTCAACTTTCCTGGAAAATAACATTTTTATGATTTTTTGCAAATTTATTCTCACAATTCATTAACATAAGCAATTAAAATATCTATTTGTTACCTATCAAAGCAATGTGCCGCTGAGAGAATTATACTCTTAGTCATAATTGATCCACCACAAAAGTGCTGCCCATATTGTTCGAAAGATATTTGCCAACCATAATCTTCAATGTCGACATCTTGACCACCTACTATACGGCCCGAATTAAAATTTTCAATCCTGGCCCAAGCTAAAAAATTATAATTTATGGTTTTAGGTATTGTTAAATTAGCTTTATATAAACTTTATTCTCACGTCTGTTGCTGATATATCCAGCAGATACAGCATAAACTGCAACAAAGATTATTATGTAAGTTTTCATTTTGCTGTCTTAATATTTTTGCACATTTATGACGGTTGATGTAGGGGATTCAATGTTTTATACTACACAGAAAACATCTTGACATTTTTTTAAATTCTAGTTGCTGTTTTTGTTATCTTATCATTACACCACTTGCTTAATTTAAAAAAATTAAAGATGAATAAAATGTTTTTACCTATTAACGTTTATATATAGTGCAAAGATAAATGCGTTAAAATTTTGCTGTTAATAGTTGCTTGTCATTGCAGTCCACCTCAGTTTCCCAAACGTTTCATAAGCTATTATTTAAAACAAATATCCTTTTTTAACTTTCCGTAGGGTAGTCATAGTAATGGGCCGAAAATCGAAAGTGAAAATTTTTACATTTCTCGACGTTTTGGCATACCTCTGAAAAAATGAATGTGTGCGTGTGTTTTAAATGTCTGCATTTTTTTGTCCACGTTTTCGGGCGCACGGATCAACCGATTTGAATGGTTCAAAAAACGTTCGACTCCGGAGTATCCGATTTGAATGATCTGAAAAACATTCAATTTGTAATGATTGGGAGAAGAGGTGATTAGTTTTTAGCAAAGGCAGGTCCAATCATTTCAAAGATATAGAGCTAAATATGCAAAAAATGGCAGTTTTCTTATTTAAAGAACTTTCTGCTTGTCTCAACAAAATTGCTTTTGTAGAAAAAAAAATTATGTTCTAATTTTTTTTGTTTTTAAGAAAATGTTTTTTTGTATATAGAAAATAATTCAGATTTTAATTTTAATTATGTTCTAATATACTTTAAACAATTAATTACAACTTTGCAATTCAGTTTATATAACTCTTATAAACATTAGATAATGTTACAATATTTATAAAAGTCTATAAGGAAACATTTAATATTCCTTGATCTTATTGTTACGGTACGGGAAGTACCTGCAATTTACTTATTTTAAGGCTCGATGCCATACACCACTAATTTTAATTTTTATCTCGTAAAATACTTCTATGATTGCGTCGCCAGCCACCAAAGCTATTAGTCAAAAAACAAAACTTCTTACTTCAAACAATATATAGCAAAAACGACAAAGTTAAATTTACTATACATTCTGATATTTAATCCATTGCTTTATAAGCCAAAAACATATCTAGCTTTACTGTTTGAATATTTAGTTCTGTTAAATTATTTAATAGAGTGTTATTTTTATGTATTTGTAAAATATTTAACCATTTGCATTTTGTTTAATGAGTAATAGAGTCATTAATTTGTGTTGTACAATATCATTATTTCTATTATTTCTAAAAAATACCAAGTCTTTCTTTATTTTTAGATATTATAAATAGCAATCATAATAATAAAATCTAATAAACTATTATAAGACTGAAATAAAAATAAAACAAATAAATAAAAAAATAAAGAAAAAAAAATGTTTAGAATTCATTCCAGTGAATGATTTTCTATGTAAGGTCTAAGTAAATAGACCTACTTTTTGAGTCAATGTTATATTCACATATGCTTCAATTCTGATTTTTCCTTTAAGGGGTTACATGGATTTCCTCGGGCAAAAAACGTTTTTTTTTCAATATTTTTTTTACATATAAAAATGCAATATTTTAATGAATTTTTTATTTAAAAAATACATATATAATAAACATTTTGTAAAACTTTCAGAAAAATATATCAAAATGGCGCTCATTACGACACCATTTCCGGCAGTCCCTCGGAAAAAAGGTGCCTCCGCGTTGTCAGCAGAACTTCTTTTAGGATCATGTGAAATAACAATAAAAAATATGTGTTTTAGTAAAGACAATAAGCTAGGTAGGTAGTGGACGTAGGAAAATGAAAAAAAAAATGAAAATTGGATTTTTGGCAGACGTTTTTATAAAAAAAATGCAAATTTCTAATTAAGAAAGAAAAAAATCCTTTGTTCAAGACCTTGTAAATGATATCTCGAAGAGCTGTGTAAAATTTCATCAAGATTGGTTGAGTAGTTCGCGAGAAATAATGACAACCGTTTTTGAAAACACAGTTTTGAGAAAAACGCGTTAAAAAGTTAAAGCCTCAGCCTATACCTGACCTTGAGCGTTTACCTTTTCAAGGCTGTATCTCCGAAACTATTAGTCGGATTAACTTGAAAATTAAGGAAAATATTCTAGAGATGTTATAGAATTTAATAAACAATTTTTTTTTTTGATTTTTTGAAACCGTGAAACCCATGTAACCCCTTAAGCGACTGCAGTTCTTGCATTTTCAGTTTCAAGTCTTTCGACATGATATGTGGTTGCCATGTTTATTTTTTGTCCAGATGAATACCTAAATAATCTACAACATATTCTTGTGGCATTCGTTAGTCTTTCAAATAAACAAAAGGGCCGTTATTAATATTCTGTAATTTGTCTTCGTTTAATTTTATTTGCCAGACTGTACAATTACTTAGAACCAAAACTCTATTCTTTAGAACTTTCTATTTAGAACCAAACTCTATTTTTAAACATTTCTACCATAGTTTTATACGTAGGTTTTAAAGTGACTCATTGTTGTTGTAAACATTATTCTTGACCTACGTAAATAACGAGACATGCTTATATTGTGGCGGAGATAAATGTCTTATCTCTCATTTTATATTAATTAAAACTAGTTACCAATGGTTTACCTTCGAAATAAAAAAAAAACTCATTATCATGATGCAAACATACTTGTCTAGTAAGCATTTCTTAAAAATTCAAGGCACAAACAAATTTATGTTTAATAGAATATTTATAGGAAAATTATTTCATATGGTCACAAAATATGCAAACTTTTGTTTCAAATGAAAAATTATGTACACAACAAAAAATATATTAAAATTTTGTTTAGTAAAAGTTTAAACTTCTAATATCTTATTCTAAAATATTAAACTTCTAATTTATAGATAATCTTTTGGATTTATTAGGAACAAATCTTTTTATATGAACTCATTATATAAAAGGATATAATTTCAAACAATATTTTTGTAATTTTGTTGTGACTTCATGATCATTTTAGTGTTGCTCGTGTATGGGTGTATGTAGAGTTTCTGAATTTAAGAATGGATCTGATAGGTACATTTTGGGTATCAACATTTTTTGTGATTTTCTTTTTGGGAATCACAATGTGCAATTATAAAGTGAAAATAAGCAATTCAGTAATTTTGAGGACCACATATATTAGGTAAAGCGATCGAAAGGACACATACTCAAGTGGCGATTGAGTATTAATAAATGACAACAAAATTCTTTAATATTATATATTTTAAATGGCATTTGGACAAATATAAATAGAACACATTTTTTTGTACTCTAAACTCCGGAGTTAGTGCGTATAAAATCTCTAACGCTGGCGGAGGAAATTCGGGTATAAACACCAGGACTGAAAGACCTGGCGCAACCGTCTCCCCAGGAGACGATACCGACCAGGGTCCTATTGCTATCCACAAGTGGGCCTCCTGCATCTCCAGTGCATGCGTCCTTTCCTCCATCAAGATATCCTGCACAGAGCATGCTAAAACGTAAAAGAGTTACCATTATTAATCGAATCAACAAATCATTGCTTATGGACGTTCTAAAAGCATCTTAAAAATCAATCATTTTGAAAAAAAATGTATGTTAATACTTTTGTTTTTCCGTTTCGAATTAAGCTTATTAGAAAGCTAGTGGTTGTCTTAAGACAAATTGCTGAAGCTCTCCGTACCATGATTTAAAATGTTTTAAAGAAAAATTTGATTTTTTTGATAATTTTGAATTTTTTTGGAAACATTTGAAAAATTTGGATATAGAAAAAATTTAAAAAATGCCTTATTTGAAAGTACTGATATATTTTCAAAACTTAGAAAATTTTTGAAAACTTGGAAATTATTAGAAAATTGAATTTTTTTTTCTTTCTGAAAATTTTGAAACTTTTTTATACCCATTCATGTCGTCGGTTAATATACTGTCGAAAATATATGTTTTACGACCGCCAAATGGCTTTTTTTTCTACTTTTTTTTGAATCTCCGAAACCGCTGATTCTGCTTTTGTAGAAATTCAACCAAGTTCAAAGTCAATACTCGTGTAATGGTTTTTGAATCGTCCAAATCGGATGCTCCGTTCTACCAAAACGTCAACAAAAATTGTATCCACACACATTCACACACGCACACACATACAAATCCATTTTTTCTAAGGTATGCCAAAATGTTCAGAAACCTCTGAATCGTAAAGATATGCAAAAATTTTCATGGTTGATTTTTGGACGATTACAATAACTTACCCTACGGGAAGTTCATAATATAAGCGGATATTCTATATTTAATAAATATTATTTATATTTGGTTGTTGATTAAATTAATTATATTTATTTCACCCAGTAATTTTTTTTTATATTAATAATTTATATCAATAATTTTTATTACTATTTTGGGTTCAATATTACTATAATGAAGTTTTAATTAAAAATTAATTTTATATTAAATTGAAATATACATACTTATCTGTGACTACATAACGTGTACTATATAGTTCTTTGCAAGTCAAGTTATCTACAACTGGAACTGCTACTGCTTGAAGCTTTTGCGAAAACGTTGCTATATCAGGCTGAAATATATTCAAGATATTAATTACACTTAGACATAAACATTAATATTTAAGCTTTAATTCTTACATATGTTCTTGTTAAATACTTATAACTTATACATTCATCTAATTCGAACTTAATTTGATGATTATTTGGAATTTGATAAATATTGGGAGAAGTAAAAAAAAAATCATTATTTTTGCAATGATTGGTTTTAATTATTTATCTCTCATTGTACAAATATGATTGGTTTCTACTAGGCAGAGTTAGAAAGATGAGATTTCTGAGAGTAGTTTTGTATTTAACCAATATAGTTTATTTGAGCACACGTCAAATATGGATACTAGCAAAGAGAAAATACACGATTCTACACTTTTTGCTTCTACAGTTTTTATTCGATAAAGGCGAAAGTCGGGTATTTGAAAATGTGGACACTGTTTATGGTCCTGATACTCTAAAAGCCAATTATGCGCAATTTTGGTTTCGTCGATTTCATTACATCTAGTAATTTTGAATAAATTTCCTAATATGAATATTATTTTCTATAATTTTTTAATTATCTTTCATTGTCATTATATAAATATTTATCGCTGCTATTAGTATTTGATAGGTATCTCGATTGGTTCGTGACTAATTATTCTAAGAAGAACACGTTGCATTAAGATACATTCTTCTGATAAACGTAATTCTTCTGTTCAATTACATATGGTTTTTATATGTGTTAATATATTTGTTTAATAATTTAACCCCAATTTTTAAAAATTACTTTTTATTGTAATTATTTATTTTTTGTACGAAACCGTAACTATTTATTCTCACACCCACAATAATGTAAACTACCGTTTATCCCATATGCATCCACAAGGAAAATATTGTGAATAGTTTTTTGATTTTGAGAATTAGAAGCCTTAAAAGTAAATGAGAAGTAAATACACTAGTTTTTTATTGCAAAACTTCTTTGGTATTTTTCTTATGCGATATAGAAATACCTTTAAATTTTTATAACAATTACCCGTATGTATCCCCATCCAGAAGCAGTGAGCAACCTGCCAGGTAATACAATAGCTCCAGAATTTATTAATCGCGCTGCGCGAATTGATCCGCCGTTTAATGGCAAAGGAGAATCTAAGTTTATTAAAGCTGCATCTTTATCTAGATTTCTTCTATTATATTGAGGATGAATTATGATTCTCTTTGCTTTTACTAATGTTCCTCCAGTTTGTAAAGTACTTGTTCCAGCTCTTACTGTGACTTTATCAGCTGTTGCTCCACTGAAAACAAATAAAATGTCATAATTTTTTATCACTTATTTCTTGTGAATATTCTCTCGGTGAAGTGTATGAAAGAATGCTTATGCATATCATATATGCATAATAAGAATAATTTTACATTAAAATGTATTTTCAATATCAATGAACAACCTTACCAATGATAAAAAATCTATAATTAGGGTAGAGCGGAATTTAAAGGTTCACGGATAAAAAGGACCTTCACCAATATTCTAAAAGCAAGTAAACTTAGAAATTTTATACAACAATATTTGAAAGTAGAGAGCAAAATATGTGTAATCAGCTATTGCCTAAAATCAAGCAACGTCGCTATCAGGACATAAACGGTCATGTTTGAAAATCTGTAACAAAAGTTTTTTTCTTGGTTGTGTGCACTATTGTTAAGTTCACAATACCTTCAACATAATTTTTAAGTGTACCTTATTTGATTGTTCTATAATATGAATTGTTATTTTAAAGTTAGATTCAACAGATTTTTTTTAAAATTCTGCATATGAATTTTTCTGACAAAATACCAGATCAAGGTTATATACAGTGTTATCTTTGTAAAACATGTGATCATGAATTTTATATTTGGTATTGCTTCAATAATGTAGCTATTATTTCTCAAAATTTCTATAAATTTAAGATATTCTATCTGTTTGCCCTATGGCTCTATCTCTTTACCCAGCCAATGGGGACAATTGACAAATTTTAGAAAAACAAAAAAAAAATTCTATAATTAGGTTTAATTAGAAATTTTATTGAAAACAGTTTAGTTGCTTGTCTGTTACGTGTTATAATTTGTTATAGTTTATTTAGTTTGGACAGTATAGTTACTTAAAATCAAATTAGATTTTTGTGCATCGCCTTATGTTAATTTTTGCAAAACTTACGATAGATTTCAAAAACATTGGTTGAAAAAACTATTTGAATTCTGCATGAAGTCTATTAGTTTTACTCATAGATATGGGATAAATGCATTATTATTAATATTTCTAAAAACCTACTGAAACGATTTTGATTAAGAATCATAAATAAGATCATTAGAGATAATGTTTAACTGACTGGTCATTGAATTTAATGCAAGTTGATTTAACTAACAACTAGTGGGGCGCATGGCATCGTGCCTTAAGGCAAATTGCTGGAACTTCCGGTACCAAAAATTATTTTTTAAAAAGATTAACATTTTTGAAATAAAGACTTTTTGAAGAAAAGTGTATTTTGAAATATTTTGGAAATTCTGAACTTTTTTTCAAAGCATTCGTACTGCTTTAACTGCATAGAGACAAAATATAAAGCGCGCAAGCGCCGCGCCGCCGTCTAACGGATAAGCATTGGTACGGAAACCATAGAAATGTAAACAAAATTTATACTTATTGTTAAAATGTCTATAAAATATTTGATAATTTGATGTGCATATATCTAATGATCATTTTTGACCGCCAGATGGCATTTTTTTTTTACTTTTTTTACTAGATCTCCGAAACCACCAGACCTGCTTTTATGAAAATTTGATCAGTTCGTCATCTTGTTAATACAAGTAAAATGTTTTTCGAATTATTCAACTCGGACGTTCCGTTCTCTTAAAAACTGAGTTACCGTTTTTGACACTTTTTGCCCCATATCTTCGGAAGGGCTAGACCTGCCTTTGTCAAAAACTAATTAGTACGTCTCCTTATCAATACGAATCGAATGTTTTTCGAATTATTCAAATCGCTTCATCCGTGTTCCCGAAATAGTCGACGAAAATCTGATTTCTTGCCACTATTTTATGAATTATTCACATTTCTTTTCACAATTTTAATTTCTATTTCTAGATTTCATTAGAAAAGATATCAACATAATAGCAAATGAATTATAAATAGAATTTGTGTCATACCTATCAAAACATTGTGCGCTCGAAAGAATCCATTGGTCGCTAATTATTGAACCACCACAGAAAAGTTGGCCGTTTTGTTCAAGAGCAACTTGCCAACCGAAATCGTTGATACTAACTTCTTGTCCTCCAACAATTCGGTCGACGGATTTAGTTTTGATATGTTTATCTAAAAACAATACTGTATTTATCTACTTCTAATTCATTTTAAATAAAGTATTGTTAACATCAAACAAAGCTTGCAACAAAACTGCAAGATCAGATCTGTGATAACCAGAGTGAGCCCAATTTTTCAATAGTAAATCTTTTGGTCTCTAAATTTTACTAATATTATTACATGGTTACCTGAGCATTTTAAGGAGACCATTAACAAAAAAGAAACAAATTTGTTTTATAGGAATGACATAATTTCTTTTATTAATATATTATTATTTTTACTCTATTTTACTTACTTTTAGATTGAAGACGCCCGGCGAAAATAGCGCTTACTGAAACCAATATGACCAATAAACACTTCATTTTGGGCTATATCTTGTTCTATTCCTATTATTTCTGACTGCCATTGTATGAAATTATTCCCTTTTTATACAGAAATATTTCGACATAATATAAAATATCTGTAAAAATATTTACTTACGTCTTTTTGATTTTATCAGTAAAAAACACATTATTGAAATTTGTAAATAACAAAATATTGCCTACATATAGTTTTTACCATGAACCGCAATTATTCTGTAGCTAGGGTAATTTTTCACAGTTCATTAAGCTGTATATAATTACATGTATACAAGTATAAATAACCGCTTTATATGATAATTACAACAAAAATAGACTTATTGATGTAAAAATAAGATGTTTTGGGAAATACTTTCTGCATATAAATGATAGAATCGCACAAGTATTTTTTTTAATTTTGTTAAGTCGACTTGCTAAAGTGCCTATTTCAAGAATAATTTACTTTTGTGAGCCTAATAGTTAGTAACTATGTACATTTTTTTAAATAACATAAGTAGTTACAATTCCTCCATAAAACAAAAACGCCAGTAATATATTTGATATTGAATTAGTAAATTCTATCTTCATTGGTTTTTTTTTTAAAAAGATTTTATATGATTTCTATTTTAATAGTTCAATCATCTTGCAATTATTATGGATCGTGCATAGTAAAATAGTACCTACCAAACACCACTTATATAAATTATTTTGATGAAAGCTCAAATTATAATTAATAATATGCCAGTGTTGAAAGAATCATAATATATTAACAGTAATCCTTAAATTTCAGAAACTTTGAAATGAATTCAAAAACTAACAAATTTAAAACAATTGTTATTAATCTTATTAAGTTATTAAGGCAGCACGATGCCAAACACCACTAGGATATATTTCTCACGATTAGAATGACGCATATGAAATATATACATTTTCAAAATAAATTATATTTTAAAATTTATATTTAAAGTATAAAACTTTGTTCATTTTGAAAAATTTTTGAAATAAAAATCTGAAAATTTGTGATTTTTGTTCGAACCGTACAAGTGAACTTTAAAAATTAAAAATCTTGATACAAAACCCCAAAAAATATAAGAAAATTAATACTCATTTTTAAAAATTCATGAAATATCTAATAATTTGATGAACATATGTCTAATGATCATTTTTGACCGCCAAGTATTTTTTTTTACTTTTTTTGGCTATCTCCGAAACCGCTAGACCTGCTAATTTTTCGATACAAATTGAGAAACAAGATTCAGAACATATTGGTAATTTTTGCAGGGAAAGCTAGTATCAGTTCGCTTATTAATACTTAGTTTGTCTAAAAATAAAAGCTGATTTCGAAAAGCGTCTTTGTGAGACTTACGACTGATGATAAACAACCTGTGCGTCATAAAAATTGAACGTATGGTGTTTAGTTTTAAATATTCTGTGATCGTCGTTTGTCCTTGATTTTTGTATTTTGAGTTATTGTCTTGTTGTTTTAAAACGTTTAATAAGGTTCTGTCCTGTTTTCGCCAATATTACCTAATAGATCTTATAGATCACATTGGAAACTCTTTCCAAACTAGTGCGCGCTTCAAATTTGAGGAAAGGGAATTAGGCGTTAAATCGATGTTGCATACTAAACTAAAACCTATGAAAATCAAACTTTACCTGATCTAAAATTAGTAAAATAGCTCAATGAATGTAATGTAACTAGTGCA